TATATACAGATCATTGTATAACATTCACATATATAATCTATATACAGATCATTGTATAACATTCACATATATAATCTATATACAGATCATTGTATAACATTCACATATATAATCTATATACAGATCATTGTATAACATTCACATATATAATCTATATACAGATCATTGTATAACATTCACATATATAATCTATATACAGATCATTGTATAACATTCACATATATAATCTATATACAGATCATTGTATAACATTCACATATATAATCTATATACAGATCATTGTATAACATTCACATATATAATCTATATACAGATCATTGTATAACATTCACATATATAATCTATATACAGATCATTGTATAACATTCACATATATAATCTATATACAGATCATTGTATAACATTCACATATATAATCTATATACAGATCATTGTATAACATTCACATATATAATCTATATACAGATCATTGTATAACATTCACATATATAATCTATATACAGATCATTGTATAACATTCACATATATAATCTATATACAGATCATTGTATAACATTCACATATATAATCTATATACAGATCATTGTATAACATTCACATATATAATCTATATACAGATCATTGTATAACATTCACATATATAATCTATATACAGATTGTTGTATAACATTCACATATATAATCTATATACAGATCATTGTATAACATTCACATATATAATCTATATACAGATCCTTGTATATACTATTATACTGTATTACTATTATACTGTATTATATTTTGATTCAGATTGTTTTCTGAAGCCACTCTGGGCTGAATTCCCAATGGAAAGCATACTATTATTTCCCAAAATCTCAATACAATTTCCCAATGTAAAGGGTTTCTTTCCTTCTAATTATCAGCTTGTATTCAGATGACAATGTTAATTCCTAAATTCTGAATTTGGTTTACAACAGTTCATTCTTTCTCCTAATTCCAAAGCCACAGGCCCATTCCCATAATAGCGTCCAAAGCCACAGGCCCATTCCCATAATAGCGTCCAAAGCCACAGGCCCATTCCCATAATAGCGTCCAAAGCCACAGGCCCATTCCCATAATAGCGTCCAAAGCCACAGGCCCATTCCCATAATAGCGTCAAAAGCCACAGGCCCATTGCCATAATAGCGTCCAAAGCCACAACCCATTGCCATAATAGCGTCCAAAGCCACAGGCCCATTCCCATAATAGCGTCCAAAGCCACAGGCCCATTCCCATAAAAGCGTCCAAAGCCACAGGCCCATTCCCATAATAGCATCCAAAGCCACAGGCCCATTCCCATAAAAGCGTCCAAAGCCACAGGCCCATTCCCATAATAACGTCCAAAGCCACAGGCCCATTCCCATAATAGCATCCAAAGCCACAGGCCCATTCCCATAAAAGCGTTCAAAGCCACAGGCCCATTCCCATAATAGCGTCAAAAGCCACAGGCCCATTGCCATAATAGCGTCCAAAGCCACACCCCATTGCCATAATAGCGTCCAAAGCCACAGGCCCATTCCCATAAAAGCGGTCAAAGCCACGGGCCCATTCCCATAATAGCGTCCAAAGCCACAGGCCCATTCCCAAAATAGCGTCCAAAGCCACAGGCCTATTCCCATAATAGCGTCCAAAGGCACAGGCTCATTCCCATAATAGCGTCCAAAGCCACAGGCCCAATTCCCATAATAGCGAGAAAAAGCCACAGGCCCATTCCCATAATAGCGTTCAGAGCCACAGGCCCATTCCCATAATAGCGAGAAAAAGGAACAGGCCCATTCCCATAATAGCAAGAAAAAGCCAAAGGCCCATTCCCATAATAGCGAGAAAAAGCCACAGGCCCATTCCCATAATAGAGTTCAAAGCCACAGGCCCATTCCCATAATAGCGAGAAAAAGGCACAGGCCCAATCCCATAATAGCAAGAAAAAGCCAAAGGCCCATTCCCATAATAGCGAGAAAAAGCCACAGGCCCATTCCCATAATAGCGAGAAAAAGGCACAGGCCCAATCCCATAATAGCAAGAAAAAGCCAAAGGCCCATTCCCATAATAGCGAGAAAAAGCCACAGGCCCATTCCCATAATAGCGTTCAAAGCCACAGGCCCATTCCCATAATAGCGAGAAAAAGGCACAGGCCCATTCCCATAATAGCAAGAAAAAGCCAAAGGCCCATTCCCATAATAGCGAGAAAAAGCCACAGGCCCATTCCCATAATAGCAAGAAAAAGCCACAGGCCCATTCCCATAATAGCGAGAAAAAGCCACAGGCCCATTCCCATAATAGCGAGAAAAAGCCCTGAGACCATACCACAGCTAAGAATTTCCACTTTTGAAACAGTAGTTTATTTAATATTCAGAGCAACCTGTTTCTTTTTAATAGAAGGAACTGTACATGTGATAATAATATCATTCCAAAAAGTACATCTGACACAGCCACTATTTCTACATCTGACTGGTTTGGTCACCATAAGTGTAACATATGCCCGTAGTCCTGTACTGCATGTACATGGTTTTAATGTGAAGTACGTATACATTTCAAACATTTGAGCCATGACCTCATCAATATGGAAAAGACCATAGCTTTGTGGTCATCAAAACAACATATAGTTTACCTAAGTCTCCACATGTACCAGCTTCGTGGTCATCACAACAACATATAGTTTACCTAAGTCTACACATGTACCAGCTTCGTGGTCATCACAACAACATATAGTTTACCTAAGTCTACACATGTACCAGCTTCGTGGTCATCACAACAACATATAGTTTACCTAAGTCTACACATGTACCAGCTTCGTGGTCATCACAACAACATATAGTTTACCTAAGTCTACACATGTACCAGCTTCGTGGTCATCACAACAACATATAGTTTACCTAAGTCTACACATGTACCAGCTTCGTGGTCATCACAACAACATATAGTTTACCTAAGTCTACACATGTACCAGCTTCGTGGTCATCACAACAACATATAGTTTACCTAAGTCTACACATGTACCAGCTTCGTGGTCATCACAACAACATATAGTTTACCTAAGTCTACACATGTACCAGCTTCGTGGTCATCACAACAACATATAGTTTACCTAAGTCTACACATGTACCA